TATAGTAAAAGAGTCCAACTTGAAAATTTCTTAAATTTTAAAGAGACACCAACTAAATTTATTTTCAAAATCTCTATTTTGGGTTAATATATAAATATTTTGAAAAAAAATTGAAGAGTAATATCTACAAATTAATTAATATTTAGAGGGTATTAATAAAATTTTCAAAAAAATTTGGGAGGGCCATGGCCCCTACTGGCCCACCTCTGCCTATAGCACTTGGAGAGCATGTGTGAATATATTTATCTAACCAAAAAAAAAAAAAAAAAGGTATGATGAAAAATGATAAGATGTTAAGGTGGATTGTGGACATAGCACAATGGTATTAGCCTATTAGGTCTAATCCAAAGTTGAGAGAGAGAAAAATAAGATGAACCAAATAGATGATGATAGGTAGTGGTTATGGAGAGGAATAATTTGTCCAATTTTCAGAGAAATGATGGGGACAGATTAGGGAGGTAGAAAGTGAAAGGAAATTGGGAGAATTTTGAATTACCTCGTAAATATTGGATGAAAATTGAATTACTATATATATATATATATTTTTTTTTGACAACAATAATATTGGACCTCTTAGAATGAAAAGAAGAAAAGAAAAGAAAAGAAAGAAAGATTTCCTAAAAATAGAAAAAGAGATCTTATAATGTTGTCTAATGCAAGAGTCCGTAGATAATCTTGTCTTTTTTTTTAGTTAACTCGGAGTGTTCGGAATGACAGGAATTCTTAGGGTCCCTCAACAACCCGACTAATCTCCGAGGATTCGGAAGGGCACCTCCCTATCCTGACCTGGTAAGTCAATGCAGGGACAGCGGAGGTTAGTCACAAATAACACTTAACGGGACTCTAACCCACCTTGAACTTGTTAAACTCCAAAATTTAACGAGTAAATCGTTGGACCACATTCGAACTGGATTGAGTAATTTTGTCTTGTTAAATAAATAATTTCATAAAAACTTCTTTGGGATTGAACATTTATACAATAAAAGACAAAAATCTTTTAATCTTTTTAACAGCAACAACTTAGATTCACTTGTAGGCCACTCATCATGCCTCATCTATACATGTACAACACATACATACATACATATATATATATATATATATATATATACATACATGCACACACACGTGTATGTATATATATCCTCCTCTTCAATTGTGTCGTCACACCCACGTCATTTGACAACCTTGGCAATAGAGATAAACCCATGATGAAGCAGTTATAATATATATACACACTTTGCCATAAAAAACGTGTAATATATATATACACATATATATACAGACATTCAACCACAACCAACTACAAGTGCTGTGGAGACGAGAAATTCAGTGCTTGTTAGTAAAAAGAAAGGTGGTTGCTTTGTCAGTGTCGCCTAGCTAAAACCATAATTACTAGTAGAATTTTAAAAAATAACCATCATTATTAGAGCTAAGTCAGAATGACCCCATTAACGGAATGCATGAAATATATATGTCTATATATAATATAGAGAGAGAGAGCACTAGGCAAGTTGCTCAAGTCTGTCGGTAAAAATTTGATTTGGTGTAGTAAAAACCATCGTCAATGCAAATATATATTAATATATATATAAGTGGAGTATTAACGACGTAGGGAATTAAAGTGGTTGTCGGTAGTGTTTGGGGTAGTTAAATTAATAGGGTACGTGCAACCAAGTGGGGCGAGCTTTGTATGATTAAATGTTATACATTGTTATGCTCAGGATTTCAATTTTACCTTTTTCACCGTGCTGTCATTTCCTGCTTACTCCTTGCCAACGGACTTTTTTCACATAGCATGCACTAATGTAAACTATCTAGGCTATATTTGGTGTGAGTGAATGGAATCAAATGAAGGTCGAATGGAATGCATTTGTTTCTATTCTCTTGTTTAGTATGTCACATTAAAAGTGGAATGGTTATTCTTAGGGAATGCCTATTTCATCAAAAAGGTGGAATGTCCATCCCACTTCTTGAGAGGTGGAATGATCATTTCATTCCCACTAAGAATTAATAAAGTAATAAAATAATTTAAAGAGATAATTCACGCATACACACACTATATAATATATAATATATATATATATATATATACATATATATATAAAAAATATGTATCTATATGCTGTTTGTTCCCCCTCTCTCTATCTCCTTTATTTTTCTCTCTCTATTATCTCTTTCCCTTTTATTTTTGCAAATTAATTTTTTTAGTTAAATTTTTTACTAATAATAAAATGTAATTTAAAGAAATAATATAAATTCATTATATTCTAACTTTCTTACCAAACATAAGAATGAGAATGAGAATGAGATTCTATTTTTACACATTCCATGTTTACAACTCATTCCATTCCCACCTCCATTCTCGTTCCATTCCAATTAATTTCACCACACCAAACACGCATAACCGATGAAACAAGTAATATACAAATTATAAAATATATTTTTGAAATTCTTGCATAGTATAATGGACTTACTTTTATGCTATTAATAGCATTAATTAAGAATGAAAGAGAATTCAATAGTTGAATGAATTTAATTAATTTTATGTGTATAACGTTATTTATTACCTTGTTCATTTTAAATGGAGTCACGTGGAGTCCGTTAGTTAATTCACTATTCTAACTAAATTTATTATTATGTCCATGTTTTATTATTTCTTTCCCAAAGCCACAGTGATAGCACTTTTGGACTCTTGTGGTTGGTAGCATTCTAAATTTCTAATATGTCCCTAAATGATCTATCGCTTGTTGGTATTCATCAAAATCGTTTGTAACCTTTTTTTCTTAATTTGCTAACATTCACTTAATTGATTGACATTTCTATCTAAATTTTCGGCAACGACGGATGAATTAAAGAAAATATAGACAGGCAAGTTGAATTGTCTTTGACTTCACTGTAGTACAGTACTGAAGTCAGTACTCAACCGTATTTTAAATCGAATATTAATATTGTGAGCTTTGTTTTTGGTCTCCTCTGTTTTGCCCTAGAATTCAATATATATCCCCAAATGACCTATCTATATTCATTCATTACCCTCAAATTCCTTACTACCCTTCTATTCTTAATTTTCTGTTCTACAATTAATTGTGGCATGGTTTTCTAAATTCTGGGCGAGGAGGAGAGACGAATGAATATAGATGGGCATGTCGAAGTTCCTTTGCCATCATTGTGAATTGACATTTTGCTTCATTGATATATTCAATATTTAGTAATTATATTTTTCTGCTAAATGGTATCATAGTCATTCTTAGTTACCCCATAAGAATATGACTAGCCGAGACAATATGTGGTAATTATTATATTTACATAAGTAGGGATGGGTGATGACATGAACAAAAGACTCTTTAAGGTCTCAAAATCAAAATTAATACTTTGATATGTGTCTCACTAAATTAATTTTCCGATTCCACTGTACATCTATATTTTATTTTTTGTTGGCATCAATGTACAATCAATGAATGTAAGAATTACTGCAACTCTAAACATGATAAATCATTATTTCCAGTTATGTAGCATGCCCTCCTGTTATCCAAGGATGTTTCTTCAAAGTACAATTTGAACATTGGGCCGTTAATTTCATTATCTCCATGCTTTTATTTCGTACGGACAGAATCAGTCACATAAATTCTTACTACATAGTTGATCTGCAATGATATAATTTTGCCACGTAATTAAGAATTAACTGATTTTGTATCAACTTAGTTAGAATGAGTTACCGGATTTTGATATTTTCCCCCTTTTACAGATATTTAAAAAAAAAAAATATGAAGATTATGTCATTTTAAAATGTATCGTGCCAGTCCCAAGTGAAATTCACAGTTGAAATACTAAGACAGACTGTGGTCTAATGACATTTCTTTTTCTTTCAATCTAGAACGTAAATGATTCGAGTCTGTCTAAGTACACTATAAAAATTAATTGTCACAACGAATATATGAAGAAGATCTAGACTATACAAAACTAGAGATGATATATAAATTAGATAGCTAGACAGAACATTTTGTTTTACAACCTGAAAGCTAGGACATGGTGTCATATAGTTAGCGTTGCAATGATCACAGACACATTTAGGATTGCAAGTAAATTGAACCATCGATGACCAGTCCCTGATTCAACTTGTTTAAAGTTTGGCTAAAACTCACTTGTGTAAAACAAAAACTCAGGTCCAAATTTTAAACTAATTTAATAAACGAGCCAATTCTCTCGTATATATGGCCTCATTTAGACTGGTATGTGCAAATGTTCATCTGTAATTAGCTTAAACACAAATATTAGATTAAACTCAACTTGTTTTATTGAACAATTAAACTCTAAGTTTTTAAAATCGTGATATGCAAAGTCTCAACTCTTTAAGCTCGTTACAATTCCAAATCAAGTCCGAATCAAGTTTTCATATATATGCCCAACTCAAGTCGATTGATTCACAACTATATATATATATATATATATATCAAGTGAAAGAGTAACAAGACAAGAATCAAACTTTTCTCCGCGAGGTCTTCTTTTTACTCCCAAATTACTGAAGAAAACAAAACAAAACAAAAAGCCTTTTTTACACCCATCATCTCTTTCTTCCCATGAAGGCAATGCCCTCCGACCCCATCATGCATATGCCTCTCTCTATTGCCTCCTGTTGTTCGATCGAGGTGGTTGCACAAGTTAAACGAGTGATGATTATATATATATATATATATATATACATATGAAGAGGGGGGGAGAGAGATTCCATATATGGGGATGGAGGTGGTTTAGAAGGTGCTTTTCGAAGGGATCATAAGGTCGAGGGTCATAGTTTGGATGGGGGCGTGTCTCCCGCTCGCACTCCTCTCTAACGCCTTTGGTGGGTCCCAATACATACCACCTAAGGTAGGACCCACATTGCTAATCTTTCCCTCTCTAGGTTTAGGTGGTTGGCTGTTCTCCATGCTTGTTAAAAGTACATTTATAAAGACCATCATACCATAACTTTTCATGCATTTTTGGACCATATATGTCCTACCCTACCACCCATATATATCATTATGTATCCAATACCCCTTTTACGCTGTGTGATGATATCTTCATTTCATCTTATACCAACTTTCTTCCTCCTTCTTATCCCCACATAATTCTCCTTCTAACCCAAGATTGAGGCAGGATTTTAGGAGGAAAAATAGTTGTTTGAACTATACTAATTACATATTTATGGACTAATGTCTGAAGACATGAATCTATCTGTAAACGGCCAGTCTCAGGTCCCTCCAGGTTTTCGATTCCACCCAACTGAAGAGGAGCTTCTTCACTACTATTTGAGGAAGAAAGTGGCCTCTGAGAAGATAGATCTCGACGTTATTCGTGACGTTGATCTTAATAAGCTCGAGCCATGGGATATTCAAGGTAAACACTTGCAACTCTATCCATCTATACATATCTATATGTACTTATAAACTGTATGTTGAATTAGATTTAATTTGTTATAGACTAACTAGCTAGCTATATATATGTGTGTGTCAGTGTGTGTGTGCTGAACTTATGATGCATGATTCATGACTTTGCTTTCATGTTTTTGCTTATGGGGTTGTGAAGAGCGATGCAAAATAGGATCCACCCCACAAAATGATTGGTACTTCTTCAGTCACAAAGACAAGAAATACCCAACAGGGACTAGGACCAACCGTGCCACTGCAGCTGGGTTCTGGAAGGCCACGGGTCGCGATAAGGCCATCTACAGCAGTTTTAGAAGGATTGGGATGAGGAAGACTCTCGTCTTCTACAAAGGACGAGCACCACATGGACAAAAATCGGATTGGATCATGCATGAATATAGACTAGAAGACAACAATACTACTACCCACTACGCCAGTGTAAGTTGTCTTACCTAATTTAAATACACACACACACACACACACACATATATATATATTTAAATCAATAGTGTCTGGAATACTTGTTTCTTTTACCCACATAGTATTGACTATAGACTTCAGGCCTCTAACTTGATAGGAGAGTCTGCGTCTGAAGACGGGTGGGTGGTTTGCCGTGTTTTCAAGAAGAAAAATTACCATAAGGTTCTAGATAGTCCTCAAAGCTCATCTACCTCTATGGGTGTGACACAGATGATGAATTCGGGTAATAAAGATGATCATGTACTAGATCAGATACTTGTGTACATGGGAAGGCCTTGCAAAGAGGAAAATGAAGCAATAGGGAACATCAACATGATAAAAAGCGACAATAGTATGCAATTTCTGACCCCAATTATCACCACAGCCATTGGCTATGAGTTCCCGACCGGTAGATTTGCCCATCTGCCAAGGTTAGAGAGCACTCCAACAATGCCATCAATTGATGAGATGATCACAGAAAACAGTACTGATCATCATCGTGGCACTACTTCTTACAAGACAAACATGGTTGATGGTCACCAAAATGATGGACTTACAGACTGGGCTGCGCTTGACCGCCTTGTGGCTTCACAGCTCAATGGTCCTGTAGAGGGATCCAAGAAATTGTCTAGCTATGGTGAGCCCAACGATGATTTCTCCTTTTCCATTGATGATGATGATCTACATGTACCTCATTTAGGTTCTAATAGACCAAACCAAGCTTCTCAAGCCTATAGCAGCGAGATTGATTTGTGGAGCTTCACACGATCAATGTCTTCATCCTCATCTGACCCACTAGGCCACTTTTCCGTATAACAGCTAGAAGTAATCAAGCTATCATACATATATACATACATATATATATATATATGTTATAGCTAGCATTTCCTGAAGTCAAATAACATGTGATTGATATACATGATGTTACATAAATAAAGGGAGTGATATCTTAGATGGGTGGCATTGTCAACAAGATCATATCCTTACATAATAACGATATCTTCCATTTCATTATTGTTATGATCTAGTAATATCTTTCTATCTGTAATCATGTTCTGAGGGTTGAGAGAAATCCTCAAATGTACTGCGGTAGAAAAGCTTGACCATGTTAGATTATATATAATTAAACTAAGCTTTTCTGTATAATTTAATAGAACTTTTGATTGATGCTGGAGAAAATAGGGTTGCATGTATAGAACCATTTCAATATTTACTTCTTATATATATATATATATATATATATATATATATATATATATATATATCAAATCCTTATAACTAGTGAGGATTCTGTTGGTTCATTTTGCTATCGATTGTACTTGAATCCATGGTCCAATACTAGTGAAATCTGGACTTAATAATTTGCTTTTGTGTGTCATTTTGTTCACAAATTAGCTGCTTCTTTTTTTTGTTCTTTTTTTCCTGAGAAAAGATTCAGTACATCTTATAATTACTTGTACTAATTTAGATATTTGAGTATACATTTTCCCACGTCTAAAAATTACTTCGAGTTATTAGAAATGTTTACAATTTAGATTTTAGAGATAAAATGGGAAAATATAGCCAAGTGAAGTAAAGACAAATATATTATAATACACAATGAGGAAAGTGAGGTATTAATATTCAAGGCAATACTAGCAAAAAGGAAAGATTGAAACTTACATGTATTTTAAATAGCAATGAAAGAAATAATAGAATGTCTTTTGATAGAGAGAGAAAGAGGAGAAATATGAATCATTTAACCGATCCCATTAATATTTGTGAAAAAGACTTGATTGAATTAAGTTTGTTATGTTTTTTTTTTTTTTTTGAAAGGTGAAGTTGTGTTATGTTGCTTAATAATTAAGAACGAGTAATATATATATATTTTCCCTAAATAGGTAAATAGAATATGAACTGAGTAATACTTTTCGTGGAGACAGATTTGTACCATGAAGAAATTGGATATGCAGTTTCATTTTGTACCATGAAGAAATTGGATATGCAATTTCATTTAGTTATCTGGTTCATGAACAATTCAGAATATAAAGAAATTTAGACATATGAAGAAATTTGTACCATGAATAATTTAAAATATAAATCAACATCCTTGTTTTGACCACGAATAGGTTGTTACAATAGACATACTTCGGCTTTTTATTTGTTTAGTATATCACTCTAAGTTTTAATTAGAAGATATGTATATATATAGAGCACGTGTGCGGTTCAAAAACGAAATCTCAAGAACTTACCTCCGGAATCACTGTCAACGCCGTTACTCCCTTAAAAACTAAGAAAATAAAAAGTTGTATGTCTTTTATAAGATGCCATCAATTCTTAGGTTGAAAAGAAAAAAGTGCCCACCAAATGGGCAACTTGACTATGAATCCAGATACTATATATGCGCACACACTCTCACTCGCATAGTCGCATGTATGTTTATCTATATATAAATTTACAAACAGAAGTTTATGTTTTTTTGGGTAATTAAGTATTATTATTATTTTGGTAATTAGCATAAGTTTATGTTAAAACGTTATTAATAATAATTTTCATGAAACTATTCTCATTCATATATTTCTATAAAAAAAATGATAATGAAGTAGTACAATGACCCTAAAAAAAAATTCCAAGTTGTTTTGTCGATCACTCCAAGTAAATGAGCTAAAAGTGATATTTCATCAGATAATAGGTCGCAAAAATCCTTGTTCTGATGTTTAGTCGATTGCTAGGAGTTTTGGAAGTGTTAGTTTGTTCTGTCGCCCATCAAAATACTTTGATAGAACAACTCAATACACCATACATGTTCGGATCTCATTGTCGTCGTATTGGTATCATTATATTTTTTTTTGCTTTCTTGTTTTACAGCTAACCAATACAACAATTTCCATTCACGACCATCATTTTGTCGTTGAACTTTGAAATACTAATGCAAATGGAATGTCTGTTCTGCATATTTCAAAATTCAAATACAAGATTATAATTTTCCGTATTATCATTTTTGCCAAAAAAAAAAAATCCAATCAATATGTAGGTGGTGGTGTACATGAAGCAGCCAGAAACTCAAGACCCAGTCAAAAGACGACGCATGGAAAGTGGGTCCGACCAAAATGTGAGGATTTCCCGACAGGCCCCATCTAGAAAGCAATTGATTGGCTAGTCACGTACGGACCATTTGGGCTCGTTGGCCCAAATGTTGTTAAGTCACTATTGACCCAGACCCATTGCACCCTTTTTCTCTCTCTAAACCATTTTTTTTTTTTTTTTTTTCTCATTATGGAATTAATCATATTTGTATGGACAATTAGGCTAATCTATTCCATCTATATACACGACAAGATTGGAAGTGACACTCCTCTCATATGACAGCAACTACTCACCCTAATTCTGTGGAACTAACGTGATTCCATTACAACAAACCTTTTTTTTTTCGGAAATAACGATAATATTTGAAATGGATATGGATAGAGAGTGCATAGACCATAGCTGGTGAAGGCCACGTATGTGTCTGAAAATTAAAAGATGGCAAGAAAATCATATCTCGTAATCGATATATGCTACTGATGTGATGAAAGATCAGACGACCCTTTCATTTCTAAAAATCAACAAACCAAAATTTGAAATTCAGAGATTACTTCATGTGGGAGTCTTAGAAACACGTCTCATATGTGATTGTAACAACAAACACGTCAATTCCAACAACAACAACAACAACGTTTATGAATACTCCTATTTTTTTTTCAACTTATAAATAGTAATATTTCTCAAATATATATATATATATATATATATATATTCTCTCCGTCTTATAATAGTTATTCATTTTTTCTTTTTGAGTTGTCCCAAAATACTTGTCCATCTACCAAATTTAAACAACATATTTCACATATTTTCATAAAATATCCTTAAAATTTTAAAAAATTCAAACTTGATTATATATATATTTAAACTTGAAAGGGTAGCTTTGTAATTTTTAAAGGAGACAATGCAATAATTACATGTCCCCTTAAAAAGTTCTACCCTCCATAAAGGACATTTATTATGAGACGGAGGAAATATATATATATATATATATATATATAAATAGAGACCCAACAATCTCTGCTAGACGCGGCAAGAACAAGAGAATTTAATGAGCGAAACGGTTAGGCGAAGACTAGAAGGCTAGAATGAAGCAGATGTCTCTGTTTCAAAATTTATTACGATATCAAACTGTCCATCTTTCAAACTCTTTATCACAACTCAAAAAGAAAAATGTGCGAGAACTGTTATGAAACTTCGCAAACTTTTTTGACTTAAAAAACTTTCGTAGGAAAAGGACTCCGTTGTTGTGTGTATATCAGCCATGCCAAAATGCATCTACAATACCTCCTCTTTCCTCTTCTCCGTGGACTTGTCTGATCATATACTTATATAATAGTACTACAGTTACTCAATTTCTTTGTGTTGCTTTTTTAACATGGGACACATAAATATATATATATATATATATATATATATATATTGTCTTAGTTGGGACCTACACACTGTCTTCACTGAAGCTTGAACCCCTGACTTCCTTTTAAAAGGTAAGAGCTTTATACCGCTAGGCCACAGACTTATTGGTGAGGACACATAAATAAGTATGTATATATAAGAAGGAAAAAAAATGCAAAACAATTAAAGGATAGTGTATACTTATTAGAATATATAGTCTTAAATCTTAACAATGTACATTTCCAATTTATCATTTATCAATACTCTACCTACTACAATACATTTCCAGTGCAAAAAATAACAATAAAAAAGGAGAATAAGATGTAAAAAATCTTAATTAAGCCAATAGATAATTACTCAGCAGGTGATATATCCACGCGTACGTAAAATTAAAGTGAAGAAGTGAATAAAAAGTAGAGAAAAAGTAAATCCAATAATTCAACAAGGGGGACCAAGCAGAATAGATTAGGAAGCACATCTCATCCAAGCAAGAAAGCTGACATGAATAAGAAAAGTAAAAGTATTTCAGGAGGTTACAGAGAATTCAAAATTAATAAAAACTATTTTCGAAGTTCATATATAATTCCACCAATGTGAAGATTGAGTTCAAATCCTCTGTTTTAATTCCCTCCGCCGTAGAGTAGTGGTGGTATACATTTTTTAACATGTTACGTCTTCATTTTAATACGTTACATCTTCATTTCAATACGTTACCTCTGTTTTATAACAGATTTATATCTAACTAGAAAAAAAGTAAATACGATTATGTTAAAAATAGATGTAATAATGTTAAAAATCAGAATCAGTACAGAACCAACATATTACAAGAGAGAATCTGAGCTCGGGAAGAATGGAAAAGAGGTTATCTCACATCCATGCATGGACCCATGAAGGGCTTAGAGGGGGCAGCCGCCCTCACTGAATTTTTTATTTATTTATAAAATTACCTATAAATTTTATAAAATTTTAAAAATATCCTTACTTTTTTTTTTTGTAAAAATCTTAAGAATGCTCTACTCAAATTTTTGTAATACCGTACTATATATTATTGTTGTTGAAAATTATCCCCTCTTATATAATTTTCGCGATACATCCCTACTCGCACCATTTATGGGCCCTCTCATGATCACCACCATCTAACCTCCTGCGCTTCCACGTCCCATAACAATACAATGTAGTCTTCCTTATCCGGATGCTGTTTAATTTGGTAGTTGTACTGGGCTCTACTTTCTCCCTTATATCATGTGAAAATTTATGATTATTTTTGTGGTTTGTTTTCTCACACTTCCTTTTGGTAAATTATTGTGTACTCTGAAAAGTTATTCCCAATGATAATAGAAATTTGTCTATCACCATTCAGTGCATTCACCATGTTACTATATTATTGATGCTCAATATAACGCTAAACACCAACAACAAAGCCCACGTGAAACCATAAGAGTTTGTCTGCTGTTTTTTTAGTGTTATATTAGGTAAGAAAAAAGAAAGAGGTGAAAAAAATAAAATAAAAAGAAAAGAATAAACATCATTTATTGGATAGTAAGGGTGCATTAAAAAAATTGTGGAATCGAACTAGGGCTTCAATTTCGGTTTTCACAATTTCGATTCAAAAAATTTGAAACCGTTAATTTACTGTTCGGTTCCGGTTCTAGGCCGTTGCAACCGAACCCGTAATGTAATATATATTATACATATTATTTTTAAATTATATAATTACTAATTTATTACTATATAACTA